ATTTTCATATGTGCTACCTGGTTGGGAGGGTTCAATATCAGATTCTCGTGTTTTGCGTGATGCTTTACGTCGACCCAATGGCTTGAAACTTAACTCAAATAGGAATATAATTTTTTAATTATTATATATGTATTGCTTCCTAGTTTTTACATTGTTATGACTGAAGATTTTGATTTTGTAGATAAATACTTTCTTGTGGAGGTTGGGTATACAAATGGGCCGGGGTTTTTGGCACCTTATAGAGGGACTCGCTATCATATAAAGTCTTGGAGAGAAAATGGTCCAAGAAACTACAAGGAGTTATTTAACCAACGTCATTCCTCTGCTAGAAACACAATTAAGAGGGTATTCAGATTGCTAAAAAAGCGATGGGGTATATTACGGACAGCTAGCTTTTATAGTGTTAAGAGTCAAATTAGGATCATTAATGCATGTTGTATTCTTCATAATTTTTTACGTGAAGAGATGAATGAAAACGACTTGTTGAATGATGTTGATCGAGAATTAGAAGATGATTCTGTTTTATAAATTGAGAATGTAGATGAGGAGCGTATCACCACTGTGAGAGTTACAAATGAATGGAGTAACTTTAGAGATGATTTAGCTATGCAAATGTGGGATGAATACCGACTTTGAGAGGGGGCTAGCATCCATAAGATTTGATGCTAAAGTTGGTCAGCAGTTATGAATAATTTTATGTCTTTGATAAGTTTTATGATCTTTGAATATTAGAGTAACATTGTTTTGTTCATTGCTTGCAGACTTTGCAGTAGCTATTTACACTTGTAGCCATCATCTTTTTCTTGTGCCTTCATTCTACAATGTCGAATGTTCATTATTAATCAACCTTTGTGCTTTATTACTAATTCTGTGTCATTCACTTTGGTATGTATTAGGATGACAAAGAAAGAGAAACAAATTGCATCTCAGTCGAGATCATATGTTGTGTGGAATCGTGATATGGACTCAGCTTTAGCCAATGTGTTGTACGATCAAATGAACCAAGGATTAAAAGTCTATGGTACTTGGAAGCCTCAAGTGTATCAAGTTGCGGTTGATGCACTAAAATCATTTAATAGCAACTTGAACAAAGATAACGTGAAGAATCGACTCAAAATTTGAAAAACACATTATAATGTTATCTATGACATTAAAAATAAAAGTGGTTTGACGTGATGGGATGATGAGAAGAAAATGGTGATTATACCCGCTAGTGAGCAAAAAGTATGGAGCGACTATGTTTCGGTAATATCGCACTTTATACTTATTAATTTGAATTATTAGTTTGTTACATATATCTAACAATATTTATGAATGTTCTTATATTGCAGGCTAATCCAGATGCAAAAGGCTACCAGAATCGTTTGATTGAAAATTAGGATGACATTATGGTGTTATGTGCAAAAGATAGAGGCAATGGTGAAGGTGCAGAAACCTTTGAAGAGGCTGCTAATGCAATGCAACATGAGGAATCTGAGGCACAATCCGAAACAAATGAAGGTGGAAGCTCTTCAAGGAAACATCTTCCTAGAGCATCAACTAGTGGTGAGATAAGCTCAAAGAAACAAAAGAAGGGGGATAAAATGGTTGATTCACTTGCAACGATGGCAGTTTCTGTGAGTGAGTATTTTAATGAGAGAAAGAAAGAAGTAGTAAGAAAACCACCAACCGGAGAGGAGATTCATCAAGTGATCTCAAAAATACCCAACTTAAGTCGCATTCAAGTGTTCAATGCATTTGATATAATGGATAACAACCCCGGAAAAGTTTTATTTATTGAAGTCACTTCCTGATAATGAAAAAAGAGATTTTATTCTCTTTATTCTTAAGGAGTAGTTTCTAGTTTTCAGATCGGACTACTTTTCTTCATCTCAATGTTATTTGAACAATATTTTTAACCGAATATTTCTAATTTTTTGATGATTCCTTATGAATACATTAGGGTTTGGTGATTTTGATGGATTCTTAGCTAATTCAAGTAAGGAGTGCTTGTCTCATCTCAAAGGTACAAATTTTTTATTTTATTGAGAATTTTGTTCTTTTTATTTAGTGTATACTTGATTATGATGCATTTCTTACTCATACTCTAATATATATGTGTGAAGCAAGGTTATCGATAGCGGATAGCGTCGCGTAGCGGTGAGGCATCGCTAAAGCTATTTCGAGCTATTGCGGCAAAATAGCGATAAAAAACGCAAAGTCAAATAGCGGTCTAATTTAGATATATATAAATACTAAAAAAATTTAAAGAAAAATCTAAAAAATCTAAAAGTACATATTGAATGATTTAAAGAGATCCTAAACATGAAATAGACATGTAACCATCACGTAATACCGAAGATGACTGGAGGAGTCAAAAAGCCGTCGTCTTCGAGAAGAAAAGCTTAGCAGTGACAGGACTGTCCTAAGAGGAGCTCACGGTGAAAGATATGAGAGGAAGTATCAAGGTAGGTGCCAGAGGCTATGAGAGGTGACGAGAGTATGCTAAAAATCACAGGAAACGGTGAAATACAATGGTCAAGGATTGAGTTTAATTTAAAAAAATAAGCCTCAAACCGCTTTTAAATAGCAGTCAAAAAGCAAATTTCGAATGCAATCGCTCACTATTTATCGTTATGATATACTATTGCGGGGCTATTTACCGTTATTTATAACAGTAGTGTGAAGTTAACCAAGTCTACAGCATATGTATGAATTCTGGACTACCTTTGTCATGCTATGATTATTAAAGGGAACAAATAGATCAATGCGTCAGTTTATAGTTGACCACTTAATATATGAAAATTATCTTATTTGTGTTCCTACAAATTCTTCAATTAATATAAGTTCCCTCCCTCTTAAAGGCTTATGCACATAGCAACAATCATAGCGACAAAATACAACATTTGCCTGCTCCTGGCAATTCATCAGAAGTTTATGCGAAAATTTTATCTTTTTCGCGTAAGTTTACGCATAATTGAGTTGGATATTGGAGAGTGGATCATCATGTCACATTCAAAACCATAGCCAAAACCAATATTAGAATTCAACACATTTACATTTTCTTCGATGTAGGAGCATCATCTTTCGAGTCAGTAAATTTGTACTTCAGAATCACATCTTCAGAATAACGTGAAGAATTCGCGTAAGTTTTTTTTTTAATTTGAAAAAATTATTGATCTGCTCATTTTCTTTGTAGGTTTTGGGCTCATATCTTGATGGCATATGAGTTACTCTTTTGTTGCTGCGGATAGAGTTTATCATACAAGCACTTCTGAATCCTCAGTTGCAATTTCTTTACATCAAGGATACTTTTCTTCTCACATGCTATTCAGTTTGCAACCCTTTGTATTTTTTTCTTATTAACATTTCTCTTGGTATATCAAAGACCAAATTGACTATATAATTGTCAGTTGTACCTGCATTTGAGAAGATAATGGAATTGTTACTTATTTGCTCTGATATCAACTTTTTCTCACTTTGAATATGTATGAAATATGAAACAAGTCTCAAGTGTTTTTTAGCCTAGATATCTGTGAAATATGCAATGATAATGTATTATTTTGATGTTTTTTTGTAAGATACTTGATATGTTTGTAGAGTTTTCTTTATTTTCATTTTGTTGAAACTCTTGCAAGTTATGGTGGGCAATGAATTTGAAAACTTAGCAAATGTAGCTACCATCGCCAAAATTACCTAAATTTGTGTTTTTTGGTTACTATTTTACACATCTTCATTGTATTTGATGTAAACAAGATGGGTTAAGAGAATAAATTTTTATCAATTTTAAATTCAAATTCATGTATAATAAAGTACCCAAACACTAGATTTTGAAATCAAAGATTTCAAATCCTTTCATTTAATAAAAATATCCAAACAAAAGATTTCTTAAATCATGGATTTCAAATCCTAAATTTAAAATCCCTTGATTTTAAATCAACTTCCCAAATCCAAATCAAAGTTCCCAAACGCAGCCTTAGATAATTAGTTAGGTGCAAATGCTTATAGAGTACTAGCTAGCTGATTATCAATTCTTATCTGTTTGAATTGTCATTATTGGTGTGAAGTCTAGTTCATGTAGTTTTTGGTCATGTAAGACAGAGTCAAAGGCTAAAGAACAGAAGAAAGGACGAATGAAGAAAAACAGATAATTTTGGTTATAGGCTTATAAGAATACTTTTTTTATTTGTTTTGCTTGTTTGACAACAGGTGCTGCAGTCGACCTGCTATGCACAGACAGAGACAAGGTGGTCATTGAGAAAATTGAGCGCCATTTCAGTAACATTTTCCGTGAGGGTTCACTTAAGTGTATTCGTTTCTCCTTTGTTTTCAATCATTGATCTGTTGAGAAGTGCCCTGAGTATTTTTCTTCTGCTTTTTAGGTGCCTAATTGGCTAACTGAGGAAAAACTTTGAGCTTGCCGTCAAAGTTTGCAGGTTTTTTTCAGATCAGGGACATAAGACTATATGTTTATATGAGAGAAATTAGCCCACAGGATTATGCATGTACTTCTCAGAGACTACATGTCACTCCTTATCTGTAGGTGGTAATTTGGAGGCCTCCCCTTCTAGGCCGAGAATTTCTGCACTCCGAATCCTTCAGTCTTTTGCACGGTAAGTAGTCCTGATGATCGAACGAAAAATGATTTTAAGAGTACCATTCTTTATCCAAGTCTCAATGTCTTTGCCAAGCAATGCAAACCTTTTCTGTTAAGTTTGCATGTTGTATAAAGCCTCTTTTTTGTTACTTGCCTTATGAGCCTCCTTGTTTCCCAAAGAAAAAAAAAACTGATTCTTGTATGTTACTTTGTATTGTACGTGGTGGTTATTCTCGTAAATCTGCAATCCTTTTATGAGGTAGGTGTCTGTTGAGTAATCTGCTTATTGCATTTCAGCAACTTACAGATGTTTGGTAAGTTACTTAATTTTTCCCACCTCATTTGAGGTCATAGGGAGTTGATGCTTTTTGATAGAAGATGATGATAACTCAAGTTTCTGCTGCGTTTGATTGTGGTAAAGCATGGAGGCTATGACTCCTTCCTGTTGATGACCAAATTAAAACTTGAAGTCATTCTACAGTAATATTAACAGATTTTATTTCTTATTTCTGCTGCGCTTACTTTGTTTTATTTAAACAGAGAAAGGCCCTCGCAGAGATTTTGTTTCTAAAGCTTCTTCTTCATGGACCAACATGGCAACTAGGTGAGCCCAGTACTTGAGATGCTTCTTCATGTCATCAGCACTAGTAGATCCCTGCAACGCTTTAAGATTCAGCAACTGATTATTCACAAGCCAAGATTCAGAGAGATATGGCCTTGTCACTTGTCTGTTATCCCCATGTTCTCCATCTTTCTTTTCAAATCTCTGAAGCCCCGGTAAAATTCTCATTATCTTAGCACTTAGTTCATCTCTTGGAAATGTAAAACCGAGATCCATGAAGCCTTTGAGCTCGTAGTTCTCAAGCTCAGACAAGCTCTTGTAGCTCTTCATCCTTTGCTTTCTCGTGCTCTTGGGTGTTGACTGTAGTTGGAAGAGGGGCTTGCTTTTGACTATCTTCAAACCTGCTGGTCTTCTGTCCTTGTAATTTGATTGCCTGTTTGTATTCTCATCAGATGACTGAATTATACAGATGAAATAAACATGAATAAGATCCAGGTATGCCTATTTTCAGAATATTAACTAAAAACATGAGAAGAAATTTTGAATTACTGATGTATTGATGTTTTTGGGCCTTGTTAGCATCGATCGAAGACTAACAACATCAGGTTCGATGCAGACGATATTTTGGTAGAACCAGAGCTTATCCATGGAATCATGCAAGCAAGGAGATTTAATGTCGGCGGTCATATTGGATTATAATGCTGTAGAGCAAAGGAAAACACAGATAATGGATGCTTTAAAAGGCGAAACAAGAGATTGTGGGGTCTAAATCTAAGGAGAATGTGGTTGATATTCAACAATTTAGCATCTTTGGTGATGGAATTGTGAGGGCCTGAATTAGTTTCTGGTCCACAAGTATGATTCACGGTCTTTGTTGATCTTGTGGTGTTGCTAATCTTTGACAAAATTGTAACCTGAGAAATATTGCTGAGCGCAGGAATAGTAACAGGCTACCAGAAAGTTTATGAGCTTATGGATTGAGAGAATTTGGCGGCTAGTTCAGCAGAGAACTGAAGGCAGAATTGAAATATTGATTCCACTGAAATATGTAATTGTTTGACGGTGACGTTGCTGTATATATGCGCTATGTGTAGAGCTAAACTTCCGGGATTTCTTGATCAAGCAGGTTGTAATTTATTAAAGGATTAATTGCAGATAGAACTCGTAAAGTGTAGTTGTTTTGAATTTACTACCCCGCTCGTTTTATTGTTGCAAACGGACCCTCTGAGTGACTTTTTATTTTTATTTTTATTTTTACTCATTTATGTTTTGTTTTGTTTTTTTACTGTTTTGACTCTTTACCCTCAGGGTTCTATTTGTCTAAAAAAAAAACCCCCTCTTTCTCTGAGGGTAAAAAAGCCAAACATGGGAGTTTATCTGCAAAAACAAAACTATTTTGAATCAACTGGAAATTAGCTACAATTCCTCTTTACAACGTTGTGAGCGGCATCAATACGAGCAAACTGTGATGTTTCTTAATTGCTTCTAGCCTAATATGAGCAAAAAGTCAAACGTTACTAATTGTTAAATGCATTATTTGATCTGGGGCACTCAGAGAGCTTTCACCTTCACAGCAACTCAACAACACTATTGTTAAATAGAGAATGTCAATTTTCTTATGATTAGAGCTGTTGCTGCCGTCCAAAAGCGCTGTGAAGTGCTTTGAAACTTCATAATCCATTGCGATAGGTGATGGTGGGATTAGGCATGCTCTCATGATTGAGCTTTTATGAACATTAAAAAAAAATTAAATAAATAACTTTGTTGTAGAAATTTCTTGAGTGATCTATCTATTTTATAGACTCAGAGAACAAACTCCCAGTCAGCAGATTCATCTATACCTTGTACTTCTTAGCATTTCCCCATTAAGGCTGCAGAGATTTATGAGCATGAGAGACTTGCTACCAGGCAGTGTACAGAGAAAAAAAATTCTTTTTTTTTCTTTTTGATTAATTGGTACTTATACTGGAGTTTTAATTTGTTATAACCAAACATAAGACCCTGCTGAATGTACGTACGTGTAAGCAACTAATTAACAATCTTAAAGCTTAACTAAAATCATTATCCCTTGTCTCTGAATGGAAGTCTGCACGCACGCATGCAGAAAGTGGCGCAATATGCAGGGGGCGGCATAAACTACGTGAGGTGAAAAGTCTTGGTGGAGTTGTCAGCCTTCCATCTTCATACAATGTTGATGAGCCACATGAATATTAATTAAAAGGTTTAATTTTTTTTTATGGTATTGGTCCTCCAAAACATAGCTAGTTTGAACAAGATCCCCGGAGACGTTATGTTGAAAACCGATATCCTTCCAAAATACACTAAATAGACCTTTGTTTGTTTGTGTTTTTTATTAAAATCTAACTCGAATCAGATTAATTATTTCATTAAAATTAAACTGGGTTGAAGCATCCCTCTCCTCCACCTCGAGATTCCGTGGCCAACTGGCCACGGTGGCAATTAAGGGCATAGCCGGAATAAAAGATGTTTGCTTGATAGTTATAGGTTAAAATAATAGACTTCTAAGTAGAGGAACTTAATTAATCAACTTAAAGGAATTGGGGGCTCATTCCAAAAAAACGTATATTTTGAAGGACCTATTTTAAATTATCCAACTTTGTAGGATGGACAAATTTTGAAAAACAACTCATTTTAAAAAATAATTATAAAAAACGAGGGAAGTTTTGTTATGTAAAAAGCTTCACGAGACTTGAAGTCCCGTGAAGTTTGGTATTTTTTTCACCAAAAAACAACCCAGTTTCACAAACTGGGTCGTTTTGGCAAATAAGTTTCAAATAGATCGTTTTTTATAAATAAGTTTGGAAATGGGTTGGTTTTCAAAATTTGTCCTTGTAGGACTGATACCTTAAAACCCCAAATCAAAAATAAAGAATTTTTTTTGGCAAAAGTTATGATTAGCATGAGCTCATGCTCTTACTATATATAAAGGAGCTGAAGCGTGGGTAACCTGCCATCCCTCCAAAAGAGCAGAATGGGCTTCAATGAAAGTACTAGAGCTATTCCTTTATTACTATCAGCATCTCTCTTCTGCCTCCTCGGACTAGGTATTTGCGTTTACTATACCCCAGCTCATGTGTGAACCCTGACCTAACAATTTGATTTGTGACAGGAAATTGTGATTTGAGCTTGAACTACTACAACAACAGTTGTCCTAGAACTGAAGATATTGTGAAGGAGCAGGTAGAAAAACTCTACCGAAAGCACGGAAACACTGCAGTTTCTTGGGTCAGAAATCTCTTTCATGACTGCATGCTCAAGGTTGAAGCCCAACGTTCCATGATAAAACTTCTGTAACCATCATATATATGTAGGAACAATACTAGCTCTAAAATTGTCACCTTCGTGCAGTCCTGTGATGCCTCGCTTCTGCTTGAGACCACCGAAGCGACGATCTCTGAGCAAACGTCTCCAAGGAGCTTCGGCATGAGAAACTTCAAGTACGTCAACACCATCAAGGATGCCCTCGAAGCTGAGTGCCCCGTCACAGTTTCCTGTGCTGATGTCGTTGCTCTTTCTGCTAGAGAGGCTGTTGTCCTGGTACGTTATATTTTTCATAATAAACATGTGAGTACCTGTAACAATATATGACCTAATTTCTGAAAGTAAGTTTAGACCTCTTTGGCAACTCCTTAAAATGGGACTAGGGCCAACCCTAGTCCCATTTTCAAAAGAAAAATATATTTAAATTGAGCCAAGGTTGGCATCGGTTTTCCTGACCAAACAATGGTCTTTAAACTAGTTCTTTTGTGGACTAAGGGAGAGTTGGTCTATAATATAGTCATCTTATGACAAAATTATGACAAAATTTGGCAGGTTGATCCCAGCCCAGTTTTGTAAGTTGCCAAACACAAGGCCAGGATTGATCATGTTTCAGCTTTACCCTAGCCAATCAAACTTTGTGCCATATTTGGGTGTTTTAGGGCCAAAATTTGGCCTAAACAATGGGGCCAATAATGGCTCAGTTAAGCCAAACACAAATGAAAACTATCATGGGAACAATCCTGACCAGATCATGGATTTGCCAAACAGACTCTAACGTGTTTGGCAATTCCACAAAACTAGCAAAACTAGTTTTAGTGGATATAAATATGGTCCAAAATATTATTTTTATTTTCTCTGAACTTGGATCAAATTTGAACTAGTTTTTCTGAGTTCAAATTCTAACTCTTAAACTAGTTTTCTATTGGACCAACTCTAGTCCAGTTAGACAAAAAATAGCTCATATCCAACCTCTTTTTTGTCATTGTCAAACACATGCTTCTTGCAGCTAGGAGGTCCATACATTCCTATGAGAACTGGAAGAAGAGACAGCAAACAAAGCTATTTCGAAGTTGTTGAAGATTTCATCCCCAATCACAACGACAGCTTAGATCTCGTGCTCTCACGATTTCAATCTGCAGGTATCAATACAGAAGGCACAGTCGCACTTTTAGGTATGAACAAAGAAGCAACTCCATTGTTATTTCCTATATTTCTCAAGTTCATAATCACCATCAATCTTCGATTTCAGGAGCTCATTCAGTAGGCCGAGTTCACTGTGCAAACCTCGTCAATAGACTGTATCCTACAGTCGACCCAACAATAGATCAAGAGTATGCAGAGTACCTCAAGAGACGATGCCCAAATCCAAATCCTGATCCTAAAGAAGTGGAGTATGCTCGAAATGACAATGAAACACCTATGGTGATTGATAATATTTACCACAAGAACTTGTTGAGCCACAAAGGGCTGTTGCTTGTTGATCAGCAGCTGGTTTCAGACCCTTCAACCGTTTCTCTTGTGGAAATGATGGCGGCTAACAACAGCTATTTCCATGAAATATTTGCAAGTTCTCTGCTTTTGTTATCAGAGAATAACCCACTCACAGGAGATGAGGGTGAAGTTAGAAGCGACTGTCGGTTTGTTAACTCAGAATAGTACACAACTTAGAATGTAGCTCATAATAAGATGTTATCTAAGGAGAGAGAAGCAAAATATGAACTGGTTCTCCTAAGATATGATCATATATAACATAAATGTATCTTGCAGGCTTGCAGCCTACTTGGGTGTATTTAAAAGAAACAAGTTAAAATCTCAGAGGTAAAGAGAGGACAAAGGAAACAGAATACAAACTGAAAGTATTAATCATGTTCACCAGAAAGAGATGGATGGGCAGAAACAAAAGAACTATAACGGATGAAAAATACACATGCAAGAAATTGACAAATGGATACAAAACAATCTTAAAGAAGAAGAAAAAAATCAGGAAGATGAAAAACCTGAATAAATTTCTACACAGAATCAAAGATCAAACAGGTAACAGATGACTTCGTAATCCAACTAAAGACATTAGCAAAACAAGTTCACGAGATGCATGAAAGATGAAATAAGTTTCGGTACCACATGATCTATGAATGCAACTAAACCAAAGACATAGTCCATAATTCTTACAACCAACCATAATTACGACAAGCCACAAGGTAGATTTTCAAGGTAGATGGAGGTAACATGAACTACAGAGTATGCCAATGTTCACAGATATAAATCTAAATCTAAGATTATTTCCCCCCTTCCTATTGAGGGGCTACTCTTTCTTACAGTTACTCTCCAGGTGCAGAGACCCCTTGTTTGAGCCTTTCCCTCCTCAACTTCTTCTTGGAAATAGGCTTCTTCTTTTTTGGTGGAAGAGTCTTCTGTGCGTAGACATAAAGCGCATAATTTCCAATGAGGAAAAGCAGCACAACTCCCACTACCACAATCAGCACGATCACGCCTGGGTTTAATCCTTTCGTTGCCTCCTCCTTTATAATGTTTCCCTGCTGTTGAAAGGTTCAAAATCTCATAATCGATAAGACAAATGATGGGAAAACAGGGGGAAAACACTGTAGAAATACTAATAAAAATTGGCCAAAAATTAGAAGTACTACAAATATTGTATCAAAGTAGAAGAAAGAAAGTGATATCAAATACGAAGCACAGCCACAATAAAAGAGCCTTATACCAAACATTTGGTTCGGTTTTATGAATCTGCAGGTGATTCCTATTAAGAGATCATTAAAGGATGGTGATGGCCTGTGGAATATTCCAGATGGGAAATTTGCTTCAAAAAGTTTGGATACAGATTGGATATGACATTTACCATATCCATATCCGCTTGCTAAGAACGGATCCGGATATACTTTAGCAAGAAAAACGCAAAACCATATCCACCTGAATCAGATATGGATATGGACACGCATTGGATATTCGAATAATGGATACAAATATGATTCAGATATGAAAACAAAATGGATATCATTCAGATTTAAACATCAAAAAGATCCTTTTAGTTCACAAAATATATTGCAATATATAGCTCACACAGGTGTGAAACATTAATGGTTAGAAACTTGGACTCCAAATTTAAGAAACATAAGTCTTGAATCAGATTAAAACCATAACACAACCTCTCCAAAATCTATAACCAAGTATTAAATAAGTTTAGAAAGGAAAATTTCAGTTTAATGTTTGCCTTTATTCCAAGTTAGAAAACACCAGAGTTCAATCTTTTTCTTTTCTTTTCTTGAACTTATTATGTTTGATTTGACCTATTTGTTTTTCCCGTAGGAGATAAACGGGAATAGGTGAATTAAATATTAACATGATCTAAGGATAAATAATCATAGTAAATAGAATGGGTACATTACCAAACTAACCCTCTAACCACTGAATGGTATAGATCAGTCCATTCTATATGGTGTTCTGATAAAAGCTTTACTCCTAGACCACACTCCTAAGGCACTGAAGGCTTCGTTATTCTTTAAAAAAACTGCATATTAGCATTTTTCTCATCTATCCTTCCAATATCTCTATTGGGTGCATACCCTTCAAAAGAAAAAAAGATTAAAAATGCTTGTCTGGCCTTCAAAAAGAAATATTAGCATTCAATCTATACCCATGATAATAGTATTTATCATATCTATGTTAGTTAAATCCAACAAAAGGCTAATTCAGATGAAAGTTAAATCTTGAATTCAGAGGAGAAACTTGGATCATGATGCAAGGCCCAATCAAGGTAATTCATCGAGTAATAGCCTCTAAATCAAATTGACCCCCCGGGGAAAAGTAACCAAACAGGCATATAACATCATTCTCTCTTCCCTATATCGAACATAAGCTAAAAATTCGAGCAAATACCGCCTAATAAATGGATGTCAGAAAATCAATCCAACATATTTTACTGCTCTTTCATCCCAAATAACATGCAAAGGCTCTATTTTGAGTTAGCAATGCATGAAGAACTCCATAGCTAACACCATTAGTTATCAAAATTTCACTAAATTAGCATAATTTAGATACAAACAGTAGCCGAGGCTTCAATTTTTTTTTTCAAGTGACAGCAGAACAGCAGCAACATCCAATCCTATCAAATCACCAAGAAAATTTAAGAAAGCAAAAAAAGAACTGATCTTTGTAAGCTTAGATCTGAAAATCTTACCGCGTTCTCAGAAAAAGTGAACTGATCTTGATCCATCTCGAGAGATTCGACCCAGAGGACCTCGAATCTGCAGAATGCATCGGTAAACCAAGAACGAATCCAATATAAAATGATAAGAAAATGGGAAAAATAGGAGGAAAAAAAAGAAGGAAAAAGAGACAATAACGAATACAATTATCTTCAGATCCCAACCTCCGATTCTTAATCCAAAGATTCGGGAATCAGATATAAAAGAGAAGATCAAAATACGAAATTGTGAGGGATCTGAGAGCAGTGGAGTACCTCGGATCTCAAGTTCTCAAACACTTATTTTTTATGTTTTATTTTTAATTTTCTTTTTTAAGTAATATTTTTTGGGTGTATTTAGCCTTTGTTTCCTCTGGCTGGCTGACTCTACTGTGAGCTGGCTACCGTTTTTTATTTTGTTTGTATTTGCATATCACAATTCTGCACATTTATCTCGTTCATTAAATTAAAAAAAAACTAGCTGAGCAACCGTTTCTTAGGATTAAGATCAAAAGGCCCAGCCCAAATTTTGTCAACTCGGCCCTCAAGTGATATTTCCTGTGATAAATTTAGGGCTGGTCACCTATAGGCCTAATTGGGCCTGTCAGGCTTTATAGCTAGTCCAGGGTCTTAAACCATTCCTGCAATTTTCGGAGTAGAGATCATATTAGGGGGTGCTTGTTTCACCAAAAATTTTGTCATTTGGTATGGATTACAAGTTTTGGGATCAAAAAGTGAGTGTTTTTGTATTTTATGATTCCATATATGATATTTGTTTTAAGAAATTTTTTAGAATATTGATTCTCAAAAGCGCAAAAAATACCCAACTTTTAGAATTTACCAAATACTCTCAATTAGAGAGGATTTTGATAAATCTCATAAATGGGTGTGCTTACCTCTCAATTGGAGAGGATTTGACAAATCCTAATTTTATCTTATTATGGGAGGTAAATTCATCATATTACAAAATTTTGGCATTTGGTAATGCTACAATTTGAGCTTGAAACAAACAAACTATTATAAATTGTAGTATTCCAAATCCCAAAATATTAATAAAATAAACATCATTTTAGAAATCCCAACCCATAACAAAACACATATGGATTTCAAATCTCATGGTGAAATCCATATCCTAAAATTATAGGATTTGAAACAAACACCCCCTTAGAACAAGAGCATAAAATTGGAGGCTCCATGTAACTCAGGGGTAGGGTAGGCAGTCAACTAGTCTGGACATTTTACTATTCTGTTTACAGTGTAAATCTCCGTATTCTTATGGAGTTAGTCCGTTGTTCTGATAGGATTCCCATTCACATTTTTTTTTTTTACTTTGTTCTCTAATATATGTATCACACTGCGTTCGATTGTCAATTTTATGTCAGTACAGTATGCAATATCAATACAGTCAATAAAAATCAATGTAAACAATTTAAATATTATTATAATTAAAATATTATGTCAGTTCAATCAGAATATTATATCAATGTAATTACCAATGTTACGGTATATATGTTAGAGTAGATATAGTTTTATCCTCTCTCTCATTTATATGGTTTTCTATAGAGACCCCTCTATAGGATAAATTTTCCCATATAGCCGTGATTTATATTGTTAAACAATTCTTTATCAATATGAATTAAAATTTTAATATTATCATTACCCACGGATTCAATAATGTTAATCCAGCTAACTCCATATGACTTTGAATTCACTTCGACACCCTTAATGGAGTTAGTCTACCAATTTTATTTGGTTGTAATTGTTTTGCTTTTGATCTTGTGGAGTTCTTCCCTTCCCCATATTCATGCATTCAAGAGTTCAACTATGTAAAGTTTGGTCAACTTAGAGGTTTGCTTTCTATGCAATCAACATTCAAAAATACTTAATTTGCTGCCGTAACCCGCCAACCTATCAACAGGACTTTTTAGCTCTTTCAACGTGCTAGAGTGTAAATAAAAACAAATTCTTTAAAAGTTAATTAGGTAGTAGCTGGATTTCAAATCTCATGGTGAAATCCATATCCTAAAATTATAGGATTTGAAACAAACACCCCCTTAGAACAAGAGCATAAAATTGGAGGCTCCATGTAACTCAGGGGTAGGGTAGGCAGTCAACTAGTCTGGACATTTTACTATTCTGTTTACAGTGTAAATCTCCGTATTCTTATGGAGTTAGTCCGTTGTTCTGATAGGATTCCCATTCACATTTTTTTTTTTTACTTTGTTCTCTAATATATGTATCACACTGCGTTCGATTGTCAATTTTATGTCAGTACAGTATGCAATATCAATACAGTCAATAAAAATCAATGTAAACAATTTAAATATTATTATAATTAAAATATTATGTCAGTTCAATCAGAATATTATATCAATGTAATTACCAATGTTACGGTATATATGTTAGAGTAGATATAGTTTTATCCTCTCTCTCATTTATATGGTTTTCTATAGAGACCCCTCTATAGGATAAATTTTCCCATATAGCCGTGATTTATATTGTTAAACAATTCTTTATCAATATGAATTAAAATTTTAATATTATCATTACCCACGGATTCAATAATGTTAATCCAGCTAACTCCATATGACTTTGAATTCACTTCGACACCCTTAATGGAGTTAGTCTACCAA